ATTTCTGTAGGTTTGTGGCAGAACTGGCTTTTTGGGGAGGTCTAGCCAAGGTGGCATTGAGACTGCTATCTTGCCCACCAATTAGTATGCCCAGACAGGGGACATTATCAGTCCAGACTACTCACACCTGGAACCTGGATCTGGATCAACACGGTGATCTCCACCCTGTATAACTGAAAGCCAAAGTTCGTAAGGGTAAAACTTTTCTGGCCATGGAGCACTTATGTTCTGCATTTGCCAACAGAATTCTGGCAACATGTTTTACCCTGAGAATGACAAACTCAAAAGAAATGATGTAGCCCTAATAATAAAGTGAAACCCAGCACATGTGTTACAGGCTCTAATGCAAGGTAGGACTAAATAATGCCAGGCAGAATTCATGGAAATCCTATCTACATGACAATAATTCAGGCTTATGCTTCAATACATATGCAGAAGAAGAAGAAATGGAAAGCTGTTGTGCAAGTGTCCAGGAGGAAATTGATCCATACCGAAATAGGATGTGCTGATAATCACAGGTGATTAGAATGCAAGCTAAGAAATTAAACAGAATGAAGTATCCCTGAGGATTGTTATGGATTTTTGGGGCTCTTTGGCCGTGTTCTGAAGGTTGTTCTTCCTGACCTTTCACCAGTCTCTGTGGCCGGCATCTTCAGAGGACAGGAGTAGGAACTCTGTCCATGCTCTGTTGCTGTTTGTTGGATAGTTGAGTATAGCTGTGGAAAAAAAAAGAAAAAGAAAAACCTTGAGAGAGAGCTGAGGAAACTCTTAATATTTTTAACAACATATGAGAAACAAAAAGAAAGGTGACAGAAATAAGATGAAAATCTAAATGCAACATTTCAGTTATTTGCTCATAGGGACTAAAAGGCCTGTTATAATAATCACTGCAAAAAAAGGAAAAAAGCAAGAGATTGCTTCCAAAAATGCAACAAATAAAAAAAGAAATTTAAATCAAAATTAGGGATGCTGAAAAATGAAAAAGGGAGTATGTTATTTGATGGAAGCAATGTAATGAAGAACTATACAAAAATAAATAAATGATTCCTTCACAATGAAAACCTTTTTAATGAAGAATCTGCAGTTTTACATAGTGAAGTGAAACCTACTGTCAAAGCACATGGAGGAAATAAAGGCCCAGGATTAGATGGCATACCAGTAAAACTATTCCAGGCTATATGCACTGAATCTATCAAAAGAATATGCCAACAAATATATTAAACAAATAATGGACCACAGACTGGAAACTTTCAATATTCATTCCAATTCAAAACAAAAGAGAGCCCAAAGTCTGAAGTAACTGTAGGATATTAATTATATTAGTCTCCCAAGAATACAAAGCAGTTCTCAACACAAACTTTTACTTTATATGGAACCCAAAATGTCAGATGTTTAAACTAGATTCAGAAGAGCAAAAAGCATTGGAAATTATACTTCAGATATGCATTGGCTATTGGAGCATATCAAATAATTTCAGAAGGAAAAGATTTTGAGCTTTACAAATTATGATCAATCTGGGTGGAAGCCGCCCAGAGACCTTGGGTAGTGTGGGCGGCATATAAATTAAATAAATAAATAAAATAAATAATGATGAAAACCTATGGGTGTCACAACATTTGGACAACTCATATTGTGGACAAGAGGATACTGTTAGGATAGAACACAGAGAAACAGAACAGTTGTTGAAAGATTGTCTATACCTGGATCAATCAAAATGGAGATTTCTTTGAGCCTTCCCTCCTGCCAATACTTGACTTTTGCTTTTCTTGGTTTTTGTTGTTTATTCCCATCTTGATTATAGCATTATTGTAGATTTTAATTGTTGTTTTTAACTTATTTATGCACAATATATTGTGAGCCGCCCTGAGTAGACTTTTGTCTAGAAGGGCGGGATAAAAATCGAAAAATAAATAAAATTTTAAAAATTGTATCCAGGAAAGGAGGAGATTGAGATTTGAAGGAGAAGCTGTGAGGGAAACAGAAAATATTCTCTTCAGGATGTGTCACTGGACACCAAAGACAAGATAATCCATACTGCAGTATTTCTGATTGCTATGTACAGTTGAATGTACAGTTGGACAGAAACAAAATATATTCTTCTGAATTGTGCTGTTGGAAGACAGTGTTATAGAGTCTATGGACTGCTAGAAGACCTGTGGATCTTAGATCAGATCAAGGTACCTACCAAGTATGGTTTAGTAGACAAGAGTAATGAGCTAGAACTTGGGAGACTTGGGTTTGATTCAGACTCTGCCCTAGAAACTCACTGGGTGGGTGGAACTACTAAAAACATTCCTTAAATACCTCACCTTATTAAGGTCATTCAAAGGCAGTTCTGACTTGACCCCACATAACAACAAATCAGAACAAGTCTGAAGCAAAAATGATTGAATGTAGTAGTCTACATTTTGGTCACACCACGAGAAAACTCAGCAGAAAAGACAATAATGTTGGGAAAAGTGGAAAGCAGCAATAAAAAAGGAAGACAGAACATGAGATGGATGGCCTCAATAAAGCAAGTCAGGGCCTTCATTTTGTATGAATGTTAATGACAAGAGTTTTGGGAAGTCTTTAATTTCTAGGGTCTCCTTAAACTGGAAACCAGTTGATGGCACCCAGCCCCGCAAAGATTACGGGAGGGGGCATGGGGGAGGCAAAAACTTCTCGCGTCCTCCGGGCACCTCTATAAACTCACTAGGACAGCATGAAAAACGCCCCGTGAATGGGCTTGAGAGTTTTTCGAAAGTTGACGGAAAAGACGTTTAAAAGCCCCACTCCAGAGCGCAATGCAACCTCCGATGGAAGCAAACGTCGTCAGCAGCAAGTTTCCGGGGGAGGGACGGGGAGGGGGGGCGCCGCGCAGCATGCTCAAGAAGGTGTAAACGGACGCTGAGCACAAATCCGGGCAATGTAGCGACGTTTTCCTACGGTTTAAACTCAAGAGACGGAGAATCGCTCCAATCCCACTACTGGATCAAAGAGGATCGCGAACGCCACGGGAGACAATAGAAGCAGCTTCGCTCCCTTTCTTCGCCAGAAGCTGCCCGCTCCGCCTTCCCGGTTTCTCATTGGCTCGTTGGGAATTTGGGGAGCCCCCCGAGCTGGGCGTGGGAAGGCGGAGTCGGCTGCGCGCGCGCGCGCCGCATTGTGTGCTCCAGAAGCGAAGCG